GGGCGAGTGTCTGACATTTTTCTTGGGCTCTGCTTCACATGGGGCACGGGCCACATCATACAATGGTGGACGTTTCACCCTGGGGGTTAGACCAGAGCCAGGATGAGCCCTTGCAGGTGACAATGGTGGGGACTTCATTTCTGTCCCTCCCCAGCCCTGCATGGGGTCCAGGAAGAACTGGTACATAGTAAGGACGGAGGAAGGCGTGGGGAAGGCACTAGAAATTGGCCGAGATCGATGCTGGGTTTTAAGGCACAGCCGGACCAGAAGTTTCCGTCCCTCCCTGGTCAGCCCCGTCCTGCACTTGGAGCCATCAGTGCTTCACGCCCCTCCCACCCTCCCTCAACATGGAGCCCCCTCCTGGCCCGTTCCACCTGGGGCTTCCAGAAGACGGGCTTGTGTGAGGCAGCCATGTTCCAGGGGCTGAGGTCACTTCTCTCAGGACCAGGGCAGGCCTTGGCCCCATGTCCAGGGCGTCCCAGGCCACTATCTGTGGCAAGCCGGGGCTGAGGCGTGGTGGAAGCCCAGGCTCTCCATGGCCTGCTATTGCAGGGACCGAAACTGCCCTCCCCTGGCTCACGTGATGACCTCGGAGGCAAAGGGAACCTGCCCAAGGCAGGATCATGTGGCTGTCACATGTTCGGGTTCCTCAGAGACTGGGCGTGTTTGGGGGCCCCAGGGCCTGGTGGCAGGAAGCACTTACCTTCCTGCTGCACAGACAGCAGAGCCCAGAGCAGCAGCGGCACAGCAGGGGGGATGAGCCAGTAGCAGTCCTGGAAAAGGCTCTGGGGGAGGGGAACATCCCTGACAGTCCAGCAGATAAGGCAAATGTCAGCAGCTGGGGAGCCTGGGTGGCCTCTTCCCCACCAACTGCCACCCATCTGCCCCCACTCCCTTGGCCCCATACAACCCCACCTAAGGGGCCACAGTGGGGCAGGAGCTGGGGCTGGTCTCCACCTTTCGGGGATCAGCCACTACCTGCGCCACCACGTGGGAAGTCAACACTGCAGAAGAGTCTGGCTGCACCCGCGGCAGCACTCTAGTTTCCTGAGAGAGGGAAGGGACAGCAGAGGAGTAGGGACGGCCCCTGACAGCCCTGCTGGGTCTCAGAATGCCCTTCCCACGGAGCGTGCTGCCACGACTCACACACGTGTAAACACACACACGTGTAAACACGCACACAAGTGTAAACACACACACATGTGTAAACACACACGTGTAAACACACACGTGTAAACAGGCACACAAGTGTAAACACACACATTTGCAGGCAGATACACGTGCACTCTCACCAATACAGACACACTCGCAAATACACGCACGTTACTACACACGTACACACAGGCACGTGCAACGTGCACACGCACACGGGGCGCGCCAGCGGCTTCAGGGAGCTTTTCCCGGGTTGAGGCGCCATGCTGTGAAAGGGAGGTAGCAGGTCCTGACCCCACAGTTGCACCAACTGCCCAACTGCCCTTCAGTTCACCTGCATCTAACCTTCTCCCTGAGAACTGCCTTTCTGCCAAGCCCTGACTGTGTAGCCCGGGCTGTTTCTGAGATGTGTGAAC